ATCATAGGTATCTGTGTTCTATCTCCCACATTAAGTGGTATTATTATGTATCGTCAGTAATATTGAGGTGAGGGAGGCACTAGTCAAATGTTAGGTAAAGAGGGGAAATCAATCGATGAGAATGTGAAGCTAAATCAACTCAGATGGTTAGGACATGTGCTAAGTATTCCAAGACATGGTCTTTTTCAACAGACAGTGTTCGCTGACACATGATCTGATTGGAAAGGAGCTCGTGGTGGTCAAACCGAAACATGGAATCACTCCATCAACTGTTTGACAGTTAGTTTCAGCCAGCCACGTAGGGAGGTGTAGACTTCCTGACTGGTTGGGATTCCTGGGGAGATAATTTGTGATATGTCTCAAAATCGTTGTCAATGATGGTGCAGAAGCATTCACTCTTTGTTATGTACCATGTCTACTAAACTCTATTGTTTTTCAATGTTATTAGTCCTCCTTTCTATATGACATTACTGTTTATTGTCTCACTTTCCAATCTCTTCTGTATTCGTTTATGTGCTTTATGGATTGTGGCAACTCGAACTGGTGCATTTCTATGCAACGTTCTAGGTTGAAACCAGTTAGTCACAGACATATCCCTTGACCTATAACTGAATATCACATCTGCGCCAGAGGTAATACATGTAAGTAACTAATACACGAGCCTTCTGTATCTGTGCACAGATTTCGCTAGCAATCTGTCCACTGGTGAAGAGAAGTGGTCAACATACTAAACCATCTCACTCCGTATGTCTAATTCCGAAGTCGATGCAGACCAGTTTTCTAACATAATCTTACATTTGAAAGAGTCGAATCGCATGCCAAGGTTTCTATTCAAGGTGTTCAGAAGATTCTGCATTTTGCTGGCATCTTTATTTAGAAGGAATAGATCATTTTTATACTATAAGTACACAAAACTGTATCCAAATATCAGGTCAATCCCTTATGTCAATCACAGATAAATCAGTTAGCATATCTACTTTGAAATTCAACAAAAATAAAGAAGTTTGACTGTCTGTCTGTTTTCAACATAGAACTTTGCACTGATGTGTAGCAGTTCAAGTCGCCACACTCCATGTAGCACACAAAACAAGAGAAGAAAGCAGAGGAAATGCAAAACAGAGACAGTAGACAGGGATATGCGACAAAAAGAATAGATTTCATTGACTGGTGCCATGTTTTGGTTTGACTACCGCTAGTTCTTTTCCAGTCTGATCCTATGTCAGCTAACATTGCCCGTCGAGGAAGCCGATGATTAGGCGTAAATACATAACGCATGTCGCAACCAACTAAGTCGATGTAATTTCACAGCCTCGTCCGTTGATTTCCCCCCTCCTTACCTGGCGTTCGACGCCTAACCTCAATGTTGCTCACCCAATCATACCACTTTACACGGAAAAAAGAACGAAGGCATCTGTGATCAAAGACAGCCAGCTAGCCTTTTCATGTCTTCCACTCTCAATGGCCAGGTCTCACAGCCAGTCATAAAAGAGGACGGAGCGGACTGCTGAGCAGTACACACGCCCTTTGGTCGACAGTGAGCGGGATACCACGTCAACGCCACAGGCGGCGTAAACTGGTATATGCAAAACTAGCCTTCTGTATCCTTGCTGAGATTTCGTCAGTGATCAACCCGTTGGTATTGACTGATGCAACTTACTAAATAAGTGTAGCGGTCAAAACGCTCTACCACTTCACTCTTTATTTCTAAGCTAGGAGTCAATATAGTCCAGTCCTGTAGCCACATCATCTTACATTTGATGGGAGGGAATCGCATGCCAAACATTCGTAGATTGCAGCTCAAGGTGTTCAGAAGACTCTGCATTTTGTCAGAGACCTTTGACATTGTCCACGGACACAGCTGGTTGTCATTACTTCAGATGACAACTCTGTGTAAGCTACAATACGACTGTGTATTCGAACAGAGTGAGTCGATTAGTGTGATGTATCTTCCCGGGCAGATACTGATACAGCAGCTGAGGGCCAATAGAGTTAAGTGCCATCTTCAGAACAAAATAAGGGTGTTGAAGTCCTAAAGCCTACCTGGTTGATTTCTTCTGAGGACTGCTCAATCTGTACAGGATTAATGAACTTGGAATTTTCGGCACTATGTTGGCCTAATTAATCCCCCCTCCCTCCCAATGACTATCACAAGAGGACCGATCCTCTCTCCCGCCAACCGAGTTAATCAAAGATTTACACCAACCAACGTGACTATCTGTGATTCCGAAACATTACTTAATATCCTAGTTGACCTAGTCAATAATTCACCACCAGCGTCCTTGAACACTTGATTGCATCAAGTCCTGCTGCCTTGCCTCGTTTCAGATGAGGGTTAGCTCTGATAACCTCAGTTATACTTGGAGGATAGATGCCGAATTCACATTCGGATAGTTATTGGGCTATAGATCAGTTGAATTGGTCACCAAAGTGTTCCATTCAACATCCTGTAGTCAGATGCAGATTGATAGGAAGCAGATAAAACAGAAATCAATATTTAAATTCAATAATGCATAGTTTAGGTTGTGGACGTGAAATAACCTCACTGGGCCAGCTGCCAACCAATCAGAACAACTTGTTCTCCTCTGATCTAGCCGAACTTTAATATAGCTAAGAATGTATAAATATGACCTGTTTTTCCTCAATAAGGATCCGTTGCCAAGTTTCTTGTCTTCTATTCCAGTCGTCCATCCTGAGAGGTAATTAAAGACCCCTCTTGTCAGAAATTGTTTCACGTACCACTTATTCGTTTGCAATCCGCTCTCCTCACTCGTCTATATAGTTATCTGGTGTGACGTACAACCAATGCCCTTTCCGCCTACTCTCGCATTTGTCGCCAACTACAGTTGACGACTTTTAATCACAGACTGAAAGCCAATCAACAGTACCTCAGGTTTCTACCAACAAAGACAGCTGGTCTTTTCATGTCTTCTATTTTTAATGACCACGTCTCACAGCTATAAACGGGGACTGAGCGAAAAGATGCGCAATTTACACATCCTTTGATCGATGACCAGCTGGATATCACGTCTACTAAGCCAGAGATGATGCAGGTTGGCAAGTCCCACACGAGCCTTTTGTCTTCATGTTGAGATTCCTATAGCGATCAACCCACTACGGTTGGCTGATGCAACTTTCCAAATAAGTGAAGTGGTCAAGCATGCTTCATGTCTATCTTTCAGCTAGGAGTTGATGTAGTCCTGTAGCGACATCCCACAGTTGACAGGATCGAACCACCTGCCAAACATCCTAAGATTCCTCTTCCTCGAGGTGTTGAGAAAACTCTGCATTTTGTTAGCATCCTCACCTAGGCAGACTATATCATCCGCAGATTCTAAGTCCCTAGTGGTAACCAGTCAATCCCTGAGTCAATGAATTCAGTTAGTTAGGTTTATGTCCTTTAGTAAATCTATGATGAAATTAAACAAACATGGGGACAGAGTGGACATCCCTAACAAACACCACTGGTTATCATCTTTGCAGATGACAGTAGTGTGGAGAAAACAGTATGGAAGTATAATGCAGAATCTGGCAAGCATTTCATTCCTGAATTTCGAATATTAAAACTCAAGCTAATTTTGAAGTTCTACGTGATATGACAGAAAGAAGGGTTTCTACTATCCGGTTTTAAGAGTACATTCCAAGAAACTTATGCTTAAAAGGAAGCAGATATTTACAAAATGAAATTAACAAACACCTTGTGCATACTGGTCATTTTGTCGAGATTTCCAAACCCTTCAAATTACTAAACATACAAAGGACAGCGAATCTACTACGATTTGCTGAAAAAATCAAGCGTTTCAGACCAAACTTATGCACACAGAAAGAGAGAGAGAGAGTGTAGTCAATCTCTCACTCTGTTGTTGGGCGTATTACTTTGATAAGTCATACACATTAGTGAGTTCAGCTAAGTGGGCAAGTTGTATATTTATTTAACTTTAGCCTTCTTGTTTTCAAATCATTGGGAGCCGAGTGATGAGTAGACATTTGTAAAATCTCAGCGAAATACAATAGACTCTGTTTAAAGTGTTGAACAAAAGTGTCCTAACATTTGTGAGAAGTTTGAGGTAAAATTTTGATCACAGCTCATACAATTTTGTTCATTACATTTTGATGACTATTTCATGAGTCATAAGATTGGAGAAAGTTTCCTTTTTTTAAAACAAGAGATTTCCTTCATATATATACATGCAGACTTCTGTTATGTTAATTTCGATTCATCTCCCTGTAGACGTCTGGGCCAGTTTGCCGAAGGAAACGTCGGAATTACGCATATTTCAATTTCGCTCAGATTTCTACTAATGTTAACGGCAGCACAAGCTAAAATTGTTTATTAGATTTTCCTATTTTCTTTCAAACCGTCCCCACCCACTTTTTTCACAGTGTGAAAGCATATAAATTGATGATGACTTAAACTAAGAATTGTAATGCTCATATTCCAGATGCATTCATCTATTACCTTCCAAACAATTAAGTATGAAATGTCATTACTTATAACTATCGTATAATTTCAGGTAGTTTGCAGTTAGCTGATGAAAACCACTGAAATAGAATGATGGCAACATTTTATACTTTCTGTAAATCTAGTCTTTCTCTCTTTCTCTATCGAAACATACACATATGCACTGAAAGTTCACTTGTGTCCCATTACATTCGCATTATTTATTGATCTACGACTGTAGTAATTAAACACAACCAATCAATAACGATAAGTTTGACACACATGTGAATTTTGTCTTATATCAATAACTTTCATTGTCACTACTGGATAAGTATTTCTCATCGTAAACATAACCAGATAAGCAAGTTGAGCAGGTAATTTTAACCAAGAGACAAATAACCCTCTTATAGAAAAGGAGAATTATGCGTAGTAGTAATCCTAGTAGTGCGTCGGTGGCACAGCGGTTAAGACGCTCGCCAACCATGCACGCACATAGCCCGGGGTTCGATCCCCGGCCCATACGCACTCTTTCACCTCGCTACGGCTAGAAATAATGCTGGTAAAGAGGAAAGGTTGGGCATGAGGAGGCTGGTTAGCAACCCCATCCTGTAAAGATAATCACCACTGCTACAGAAACACTTCAAGCCACTCTAGCTTGAAGCCCTCTGCTCTCCACTGGTAAAGTGAAGGAAAAAGAAACAAGTAATCCTAGTTGCCTGAAACGAATCCATGTTGCGCGCGTTAAATTCTAGGAGGCCCTATTTCCACTGAAAATGATCCCCTGAAGATTATGTCCCATCACGGTAGATGATATGGGCTGGTGGTGGGTCAACCTGATATACATATTATAATACGGACAAAAATCTATCTTTGTGTGCGCAGAATCAAGGAGAAGAAGAACGACAACAACAACAATAAGAACACACACACAAATAGAAGGGAAGAATATTTGTTTATAAACAAAAATGAGGCGAAAGAAAAAACTGTCCATTGGCGGTGTAGGACAGGAGACACAGTTTCATACCGTCCACATACAATGCGGCAGCAGCTAAGGCAAATTATATAATGATGATAGTAGTAGTAGTAGTAATAATAATAAACTGGATGAAATCGAGAAAGAGGAATTAGAAACTTTTCTTTCTCTGTAAAAAAAAAGAAAACACAGCCAGTGATTTCCCTCCGTTTCTGTTTTTTTCTTCTAATAGAAAGAAGTTCATTTGCACAAAAACACAAACACGCACACACACACACACCGAAAAAAATTTCTCATATTTCTCCAGGTCACAACAATCGGCAAGAGTGAGGTGGAGGGGACAACAAGATATTTTTCAGTGTAAAAGCAAAAAGGCAAGAAAGAGAGAAAGAGTGAGTGAGTGAGGCATTAGGCGACTATTTATAATATATCCGGATAACACACATGCAATGGTGCGTACATACATCGTGAAAAAATCGTCCATTTTGTCGAGAAAGAGAGAGAGAGGAACAGGAACTGAGCAATTACTAGTTTTAGACTGCCTTCTTTCTTCAAGAACACATGTAAGCCAGAATGTCAGTAGTAGTAGTCGTAACAGAAGAAGAAGAAGTGACGCACCTCAAAATGCAAAAAATTTTGAAGGACTAAAGTAACTAATAATAGTTTAGTTATGTACATACACAGACAGAGAGAAAATTAAAAACCAAAACAAATCCCGATCAGACGTAATTTATGCAGGGCAAGTACGCTAAAGAAGTTCAATATATTTGAAGAGAAAAAATTAAAGGAAATAAAACAAAGCATAAGATTGAGAAGAGATGAGCACAGTTGTGTTAGTAGGTAGGTAGCTAATTATAATTGTACGGAAATATCAGAAGATTGATTATTTATTTATTTATTATTCATGAAGAACCAATAGAGATATTTGATTGAATAGATCATTTCGAAATCAACAATCTGATACTTAGTCATTTTGGAAGATTTCTTGTGACACACGAGACACTATGGAAGATTTGAAAAGTACACGGTGTTATATGTATATATATATATAAATTCCAAAACTAGCGAAAACGTACACTTCACAAAAAACACAAACGTTGAACAGCAATTTGCACGGGTTATATAATTTGAAGGAATGGTTGTATATATATATATATATATATATATATATATATATATATATATGTGTGTGTGTGTGAGTGAGTGTGTATGTGTGTATGTATCACTTGAAAGATACAAGTTGTCTTCAAAAAAAAAAAAGAAAAGAGAAACGAAAAACCGCTAACAGACCAATTAAGCTAAATATCTATAAACACGACGATCATCTTCCATTCGAGCGAGAAATTCACGTTCAATAAGGGATTCAATACGCTGTTTAATCATCAGAGGAGTAGGTACAAATCGTGATTTCAGTTGTTCAATAACTTCAACAACCAACTGTCCATGACTCAATGTTTTACGAGCTTTCATAATTCTGACTATAGTTGCTTCGATCACATAACGTCGATTCTCGTCTACTTTTGTCCTAGTTTCTTGGCGTTCTGGTTCACTTTCTTTAACAGTGATACTTTGTACCTAGAACACCAAAATGTCAAGATGATATGTGTTCACAACAATGAAATAACAGTAATAATAATAAATAGTTATTTTTGAAAACAAAACACGTAGTTTTCAAAGAGTGCATGTGTCTGTGTGTGTGTACACTAGGTTTATCAGACAAGAACTCCCTTTCTTGATAAAGAACTGAAAAGACCACCTGACAGAACCTTAAGAAGATTAGTCCATAGCATAGAAAATCCACTTGGAATGGTCAACTAACAAGTTTCTAAAGTTGGATACCCATTAAACGAAAATGAAATCTAATTCAAACCCTTGCTACTTGGTTCTGACGCATCTGCAGTCCTGATGCTCTTGAAGCATAACTGCATCTTCTGAAAGAAACCCAACCATCAAGATTCATCAGCCAGAGCATCAGACCAAAAGCTCTTGAGAACGAAGTATTGCTTCTAACAAAAACGAAACTATACATCAACCTTGAGTTCAAGGGAGACTCAACCTGCGATATCCTTAAAAGAATTTAAGTATTTTTGAGAACATTCTTCACACCAACGCTAAGAGTAGTGTTCTCCAGTCGTCGATTGGTATGTAGAAGCTTTAAGGGACAAGACCTCGTATCTGATCACTTCTACGTGTGTATATCAGTCCATCTATTGATGGGGAGCCAGATACACATTGGTAGTTAGACGCGGTTCTTGTCTACAAACATTCCAGAACACTGTAATAGTGACACTACAAGCAGTTAGATAATTGAACACCATATCAACACTGGTCATTCCCTCTGAATAAACGACTCCTTCAAGGTAACCTACAAAGTGAAGGATAACCTGACAAAGGCAACACGCTTTTATCTCTTTTGCATTACCGAAGCTCTAGCCATTCATTCGGCAGGAAATTTATTCAACCACTCCTACTATCATGGTAACAACGTTGTTCATTTCTACTACATTGATTTTTATTTGTTGGTTTTTCTATCTCCTTATAACTTGCCTTCAAAAGTCAACAAGAATGGATATGATAGAGAAGATTTGTAGCTCAGGGCGTCTTACATAGCCTCTCCTGAGGAAGTCCTACTCACTGCCTTCACGTGGCGGAGGTGTTTTTCACCGAAGTGAGAGGGCGAAACCGGATGCCCGGCGCTCTTCACCGGGTTGACTGTCCATTGGATGACAGTCTAGGGGAGATGGCTAAACCCTGATTCCAAACCTTCAACGACTGGCGTATGAAGCTCACCGGAGTTCACCGGCAGACGTATGGACAAAGGGCTTATTGGATGTCCTGGATGTCTGGCCCCATTCAAAAAGGCGTATGAACCGGACTCCGGTCACCGGCTGGCTTCCAATGGATAGTGGACTCCCTACTCCATTCCTACTGCCTTGTAGGTCACACTTGGTTGTGTAAAGGCTAGAGCTGCACTCTCAAACAAAAGGCCGGGCGATGCTGGGGACATCACTCGTACCTAATTCCCATGAAACTTCATGAACTCTTGTTGCTACAACATCAACCAAATTCCAGTACTGGTCCAACAACGTCGCCTTCGGTGGTTTGGCCATGTTCTGCGCCGACCAGATGACGATCTGGTCAAATCAGTTCTAAATCCCTTGCCATTTCCATCTTGGCGATGTCGCAGGGGTGGACAGCTGAAAACATGGCTTGGTACAGTCAGGGCTGATATGGAGTGCCTGGGGCTACAAACCGTCTACGGACTCCGTCTGTGGAACAAGAATTGGATAACCCTGTCGCAAAACCTTGCATCAGATCGCCGCGCCTGGTCAGCGATGATTCGAGATGTTCATGAAGCCGACTCATCCTCCCGTAGGAGATAGCCGAAGTAAAGTAAAGTAAAGTAAGTAATACACACACGTGCAGGAACTAATCCATGATTAAAGTCCATGCGGGTGTTCTTGAACAAGTGACTACTATCTTCCGCCGACCTTCTCTCTATTGACAATTTCTAGAAAAATGGTTCATTTCTGTTCATTATTAGCATCATATCGGCGGCAGACACCAGATGAAAGGATGATTTCTGGAATTATAGTGTTTACCGGGAACACACAGTTATCTGAATGGAATTTTAAGGAGAGATTACCATCGCCCCGCCGCCTCGACACACGCATACTTTTCGAACTGATTCATCCTATCCACTTTAACGTAGGATGATCAAATTTGACTTAACTACTTAAAATAAGAACAAAATATCTATGTGTCTATACCTATGTGTGAGAAATGTTATTGAAACACAGTAGAAAATTTTAATAATATTAATAACAATAATAATAATAGTAATAATGAAAAAATGCCTTTGGTTAACATACCCGCACTTTGATATGTTTAGAGATGAATGAGTCATTCACATAGAAGATATCATTTGGTTCAATATCGCGTGTTTTAGGCTCTTTACACAGGATTCTTTGATTACAACGACCTAAAGCCAGAGCCATAAGACTACGCTTTAATTCACGCTCGGGAATATTTGTTTCATTGGCCAATTCAACAAAGGTGTACTGCTTGCGTCGATTAAACTTCATTAATATAATCATTTGATATGTTGAAACCTAATTGTTGTGTTATAATGAATATATATATATATAAAGAGAAAAAGAGAAATACAAAGTTAGTAATCAATGTGAGTAATTTAAAATTAACTTGAGATTATTATTATTACTATTTAAATAGTATTCGTTTAGCACTTTAGTTCTCATCCATCACGTGCGTATGTGACCCGATCACTAAAAATAAATACGATAAAAATCATCCTTAATAGGCAGTAGGTGGGTGGGTGAAAGCAGAGACGGTGTGTTAGACTTTAATTAGAGCTTACAATGACTAACTAACTAACTATTCATACTGGGTATCCATTCGTTATAACCTGTGAATGTTATGAAGTAGTACTACTGTGACGTTTATTGGCACAAAGATAGATACCAAGTAGCCGACAGAGATGGATTTAACATGAAAGAGAAGAAATGAACCAACACCAGTGCACATTGCGGCAAAACACAGGAGACGCAAAAAGAAGAAGACAGAGAAGCACAATAAGAAGGGCAGAAGTAGTACAATAATAAAGGAGAGATCTGTGCAAACGACGACTTACATGTAAGACGTGCAAAATCTACTTAAACATATATATATATATATATATATATATATATATATATATATATAGACATACCAAGTTCCAAATAAACAACATTCCGTTACCAAGTCGCTTGTCTTCCTACCGTTACACTACTAGATAACTAGTTGAGATTGTAAGTCATTTTGATATCGGCATTATAAAACTAGCTGTCTAATACAAATTTCAATATTTTTTTCTTTAAAAGTTGATGGTTGAAACAGGAATTTCTATTCGCCAGAGTCTGAAAATGTCTTGAAATGTCTAGACGACTCTCTGGCAATCCATGTCCAACTTCAACATGCTATCTCATAAGAAAAAAATTTAATTGTTTACCCTAAGACCACATATCGATTCTGTTCAATAAACATTATACGCACTTATGTGTACAGAATAATCCATAATAGTATAGTGTGATAACACAGTAGAAGGCCTAACCCTAACAACACACAATATGACAATATTCTAAACTGCTGGAAAATAATATCTGACCATTTAAGACTATTCAAATGACCTGCTACAGCTAAGAGGGTGGGCAGACTTCAGTCTTACTTACTCTCGAAATGCTCTCGTGTGACTACCCATTTGTAGACTGCAGAGTCTTTTGCACACCTCGAGGAGCAGGTGGCTATCGATCAAAGGTCATACAGACTGTGCACCACCTAGCTCCGTCCTCCTCCATAACTGTGAAAGACATGAAAAGCCTCGCTAGCTGGCTGTCTATGATCATAGGTATCTGTGTTCTATCTCCCACATTAAGTGGTATTATTATGTATCGTCAGTAATATTGAGGTGAGGGAGGCACTAGTCAAATGTTAGGTAAAGAGGGGAAATCAATCGATGAGAATGTGAAGCTAAATCAACTCAGATGGTTAGGACATGTGCTAAGTATTCCAAGACATGGTCTTTTTCAACAGACAGTGTTCGCTGACACATGATCTGATTGGAAAGGAGCTCGTGGTGGTCAAACCGAAACATGGAATCACTCCATCAACTGTTTGACAGTTAGTTTCAGCCAGCCACGTAGGGAGGTGTAGACTTCCTGACTGGTTGGGATTCCTGGGGAGATAATTTGTGATATGTCTCAAAATCGTTGTCAATGATGGTGCAGAAGCATTCACTCTTTGTTATGTACCATGTCTACTAAACTCTATTGTTTTTCAATGTTATTAGTCCTCCTTTCTATATGACATTACTGTTTATTGTCTCACTTTCCAATCTCTTCTGTATTCGTTTATGTGCTTTGTGGATTGTGGCAACTCGAACTGGTGCACTTCTGTGCAAAGTTCTATGTTGAAACCAGACAGTCAGACACGCTTAGTGTCTGCCAGGTAAGTCATATTCAAAGCCTTGAATTATTGATTTATCAACCCTTAGAACGCCGAAATCCATATACGCAGCATATTACTCCTAGACTTATTGAAAACGCATAGTTGAGAAACACAAAAAATAAACAAATATATTAAGTATAATTTTGATGTTTTCTTTACTCGTTAGTTATAAGGCATCCCTTTGCTCGCTGAGTGGTCAGGGAGGCTGTCTCGTAACCTTGAAAGGGTGAACAGTCTTACACTAAGACGGAACGCCTGTCGTCTGGTACCGCGTGTATTCCTGAGACCAAGTGGATAAACGATTTGTGAGTCAACAGTTTGGTGGTAGACTGCTGGACGTCCCCGAACACGTAGTCTGGGTTCGATTCCTAGCCGGTAAATAGTCAACACCTCTAGTGAGACTTTAGGGCGCTCAAGTCTAAAGCCCTATGTTCCACTCAGAACGGAAAGTTAAAACAATACAGTTATATAAAAACATCATATTGAAGCGTTGCATTGATAAAACATAATGCTTACCTGTAAGAAATACTTTCGTACATTCGATCGATTTGAAGCACTGAATGAACTAGGGGGATCAAGTGTGTTTGGACCTCCAGGACTGCTTGGCAATCCACTGCTTGTCACAGGTTGACTACACTGGCTTGTCATTTGATTTGAAGATCCAGAACTGGAGCCACGGATAAGGAAGCCTTGGGTATGTGAATCAACCATAGAATTCTGAGGTATGCTTGTTTCTGTACCGGGACGACCATAGAATACAGCGGACAATTCCGCATAACCCATATTTGTTTGAAGATTAATTTTTCGACCGTTATGTTTATTTAAATAGAAGCTAGAAGATAGACAGACAAGTAAACATAGAATCATTAAATACTATGTTTTCTGACTGCGCCCCCCCCCCTCTTCGTAGAAGATCAATATCAAGGTTAATCGTCCGCATAAAGTGAGGAACGTGGATTTATTCACAATACAGAATTGTATAAAGCCTGAGTAGTATTCATAAAAAAATAGAAGTATTAGGTTGCTAGCTGGCTTCCTTATACATTGAGTTCTATTATCAATACACACACATACAAGAATAACAAATCTCAATAAGATTATGAATGAAATTTGAAGTCTTTCCCAATGACGATGTAACACATTATTCTGGGGCATGGGATTCGATAGCTGATTTATTACCACAATGATGAGTTAAAGACCTTATTGCCCAATAAACTTATATTGATTCAACAAGCCAAACAGTATATGTATTGGCTGTTGTATAATACACGTCCAAATATTGAACTGAGTTCGTGTGGCGGGTTATGCACACACACACACACACACATATATATATATATACACACCTTAATCATGAAGAATCCTCATGGACTAACTGGATGATACTTAAGTTTAAATTATTACTATTATTATATTATTGTTCCCTTGGGTTTCGAGTGGAACATAGCGCTTCAGAAGAACGTCTCTTTAGCCGACCCCACGGTTGCCCATAGTCTTCCATCTCCTCGTCGCATGACCTGGGACGACGACGACGAACGCACGCGCAATTTATCCCTTTCAATTCAACTTCCACTGCAGAAATGACCTGGCGCACAGTATCACTCGACAGTCTCCTCAATGTGTGTCCAGTCTATCTCCACTTTCTTCCACATATTTGTTGAACAATGGGTTCTCGGTTGGTTCGTTCCCATAGTTTCTTGTTTCTAAGTCTTTCTGGACATTAGACCTTAAATATAGAGTCAGCGAAGTCAGCTGCTGATAAGACTCTCAGACCTGTTGGAAATGAGTTTCGCGACGCGCACATCGAAACTCTGACCTATACTGTCTGCAGAAGATTCCTGAATTGATTTCAGAGTGATAAAGGTCTATCTTCCTTCCCGATTCCGGCTAGCTTCAACATCTTCATCCGCTCCGGATGTGGTTGAAACAATGCCTCCTAGATAAGTGAAGGAAACGACCACGTTCAGATTTCTTCCGTTGGTAGTGGTTGGTGCCTGTTGTGACACAACTTAATATTTTACTTGAAGTGGACAAGAACACGATTTCATGTCAGTTCTTGCAGAGACCTGAATCGGCCTTCTTCGGTAGTCCTTCTTCTAATCAGTAGGTACCTTTCCTTCCTTCCAAACATTTTGCAATAGTGGTGTCAGCATATCCCTCTGAAGCACTAAAAAGTTTAATTACCTCAAAAGGTTAAATGCTTAAAAATACCCCTTCTAGCTAACACAATCAGTCGTCAATCAGACACAAAACTGCTCGATAGAAAAATGCATCGAATTTCCCATCTGAATCCACCGAATCTCAACTTTGCCGAGTAATCCAATATCATCTAAGAAGAGAAATATGTGTGCGCATGGATACACTCGCAGCATACCCAGTTCCATAGAGCAATGTTGACGACGTTGATAATCATCAAACGACAATGGCCTCGTTAACCATTTTTTCCCATCTCTTCCCAACGATCTAGTTACAGTTGAATAACAAAGAACAATAATAGAGATAAATGTAAAAACAGAAGATAATGCAGTATCCAAAAGCTGTTGTAATTTAGACAGAAATGCTAACAGAAGGCAAGAGTAAAAATGTAGAAGTAAAACTAATGATAACGAAAGTTATGCCCAATCTATTCAACTAATAAGAGAATGAGACAGTTTGTTGTTTAACGAAGAACTACTGTTGTTGTGTTCATATGCCACGAAAAGGGGCATTAGATGGCATTAGAAATCGCTCAGTCAAAATACCCATATGATAAGAATAAAGATAATTAATGTGGTTTTAAATCTAGGGGTGGGATCGAAGTGGATAAAATATAAAACTTCTAAAAGACTATCGAATAACGGGAATCGGTGTTTTAAAGTAGGCCAAGTGTTGTCAAAAATGATAACTGCGATGGTGACTGTGATAGCAATAAAGAAGGTGAGGATGAAGTGAAGTGGCTTGAATTCAAGCGATAGAATAAACAGTATTGTCACTATGGTAAAGAAAAGGGTTTCACAAAACATTTTTAAATACTCAGTTTGAGCTTTTGTTCATGTATAATAGTTAAAGCTTCGACCATAGATGAGTGGTTGAATTTACTTCTAAAAAGATGATCACAGGTGGAAGACTTCATCGTCATATACTCAACTTTCATTAACCAAACCGAGTAGTGTTCAGCTACACGTTTATGGAAAACAGGCTTACAACGGTTCAGCGTATTCAGCTGCATAGGAGCATGCACATACATAATGACTCAGTAATTTGTGTCACTTAATGCCTTTTTTCCTATACAACTAGAAAATAAAGCCGTTGAAAAGATAAGGAAGGTGGCAACAACATTCAATCTCTAAGAAGAAGAAGAAACGCTATGCAGATAACACAAAGTTAAAAAGTGGAAGAAAGAATGAGTTATAAGTCATTCAACTCGTTACTTCATTGCCAGACATGGCTCGCGTAGACGATTCCTAATCAACAGACGTGTATAAACTTTACAGAAAAGGCATCAATTAACGGGACAATCGTTTACGCTAATGTAAACACCAACTCACTACCGCATTCGATTCTTTTGATGGTTAACTATGTAGATGAAATCAGTAGAGTAATTATTTCATTTTCTTACCTAAGCCAATCATGAATCCACACCAACCAATGGACAGTCGATTTAAAAACCTACCTTTGAAAGACAATTAATAAAGTCACTTACCAGAAGAAATTTGAAACATCTACTGTGTAGGTTATCGTCGACGGATAGCTTTGAAAATATTAGCTAGTGTAAATTATGCTCTCGTGTTTTCCTTTTTGATCGAATAAAAATTTGAGCTAGTGGAGCTAACATTGTTCTTAGAAAATTTTTAAATAATGTGTTAATCTAAAACATTTTCAATATCGCCATAATAAAAGCCATTTTCGCATGGTAAAGTCTAATTTACAGTTGGAAAAATTGGTTAATCCAAGTAGGAAATATTTGCTGATTGTACTTTCAACCACCTTGTGTTTTGTAGCGCTGTTCAGGTTAGATAGCAACAATAAGTGAGTAATGACTAGGATCTGTAGACAAATGTACAGTAAACGGAGAGTATTAAGTGCTTCAGAGGCACATTCTGACACACTTGAAGCAGTCAAGTAGTAATGACACGGTTTTGTGATATGAAAGATACATGGAGTCGTTTGACAATTGCCAGGACATAGAGGATACCTACCTAAGTGGTGAGAGGGTAACCCGCTTAAACTAGTCGAAATGCAGCAACCGTGTGCTTAGATATTTCTTTCCGAATGAGAATAAAATAAGTGGATGTTACCAAAATGAAAATGAATACGAGTAAGAGCAGTTGTTTCGGTGACTGGGCTATCAGCCACACTTACTGTGTGGGGGCTAATGATACTATCCAGTTGCCTAGGTGGAGGTAGGTGGGGTGGCACTAGAACCCGGAACCGACTGACTGGAGGTCAAGTAACTAATCCAATTAGTCATATCTCCACTAAACATTATCAGAGCTAGGAACATTGTTCAGTTTCATCAAAATTTGGGAAATGAGTATAAACCAGTTGAAATCTGATACCTTGCGTTAATTGTATAACTCACGTCGCTGAAGGCGAGAAACAGATATGACTCATTAAATGAACAATAGCATTCCTTTAAAAAATCTCATCAAGCTCCCAGAGTGAATAAGTAATCTCAAATATTCTGGTATAAATTTAGCTCTACGGAAATGACTATCATCTTACTTGATAAACTTCTAAATATTTGTTTGCTTAAAAAATTCTGCTGGATATCATTTATTTTATTCCGTAATATCCAGAAGTGGCAAGCAGGAATGCAAGACATGTTCTATTCTACCTACTTCAGTATGGGTAACTGGGTAGTAACACCAGTCCTCATATTATTTACTTCATTTTAAACACAAAAATTGGAATATAACAATAAGACGCGCCACACAATGGTAATAAAACGTACGAAAAAAATAGGTGGGGTATAGATACAGGATTTCATCTGAGAAAAAAGCAGTTAGATTTACCAAGACCGAACACTATTCGTCGAATTATTGTCAGAAGAAAATTGCAGCACGTCCGCCGTTGGTCGCGACTCTTTGCCACATCCGATGACGTTTCGAGCTAAAACCCGGACCCCAACCAGGGAATCATGACACACCAATTGCTGCTAACCTAACAAAACTTTCCTTCATTTCAAGACACCACGTCATGGGCAAACCACCACCCCACTTTTTCCATCACATCCCAAGGCTTGCGAAAAGAGACTGGCACCGAAGCTTCTGGGATGGCATTCGTAGCACATGCCCACGCCACCGAAGCCGCTATTCCAAGATGATGACACAATGAATGATTATCTCCGTGTCCGAACACTCCACTGGACCTCAGAATTGCTCACACGATGATGCCAGCAAATGCAAGCAATTCTGCAGACAATGATTGAATATACAGAGTCGCCGTACATCATGCGCTCACAGAGGCCAGGTTTCGCAGGCGTAGAGCAAGACAGTGTGCATCGAAAAATTTCAAACTCGACCTCTGACACCCAGGCTGACGTTGTGACGGTGCCAGAGGTGGCTCAGGTTGACGTATGCCAGTCTAGCTCTCATGATGCATTTGGATTTCTCGGTCGCCATACCACCAGCACTCACACAACTACTCAGACACACAGAATTATCGACAACTTCATGCGGTTCATCTGCAAAAAAGAATGTAGGTAGACTTCTGTCAATCTTGTAATAGTACTTTGCACTAGGATGACGCAAAGCACATATCATGCTTACAGACACTGATCGCCAACTGCGGTTTTGGCAGCCTGCTTTCTATCGCATAGTAAGATTATATCGTCTGTATAATCGACGTTGAAAAGTCTTTCTTCAGCAAGCAGATCTACACCACTACCACGTACATTCTTCAGATCTGACTCCAGAATGTCATCGGTGGTAAAGTCAAACAGAAATGGAGAGATTAGGCAACCCTGTTTAACCAACTGTTACATGATAAGTATGCCTTTTACCTTAGCGCATGATCTGTTAGCTCGACCAGTACTAAATAATTTCCCACCACAATGCTTAGTGTAACACACACAACACCTTCATGAGAAGACGGAATTTACGTAACTCAAGAAGTAGCACGTGAACCCAAATAACATTCAGAAACAGAAAAAGCTGGCTTACACAAATCTAGTTCCTCACAACTGATAACTAGGTTAGATTTGAGACATACAGCTTTGATTTTTTCAGTGAATAAACAGTGTAAAACAAGTTTAAGTCAGGATTTGAATGCTGTAACACTGCTGAGAGATTGTACGACTCCATGATACAAAAACCTGTAGCAAACGTAAAACATACTAAACTTGGGGTTAAAAGAAATGAATACGAATGAAATATCTTTTAAATACTATTGAGGTAATGGTGAAAAATAATTACGACAAAAGTAGAAAAAACTAGTTACAAAACTTACCTTTTATAAACCTTAAATGCTGCGTCGGCTTCTTCTGGTAATACCTCATTGGAACTAGCTACCTGAGTCGGCCAAAGTCCAGTTGTCAATACACGAACATACAGATCTAACCCGAAATTGTGATTGCTATTGGTTAGTACAACATTAAACTCATCCATAAGAGTTTTAGATATCGCCATATCTTTGAACATTCCTTCTAATTTACTAGTGTATACGGCACCGCATTCTGCCATAAGTTTGGATATCATTATCTTTTCTTGGTCATCTGACTGACTTTTACTTAACAACAGCCTCTTGGCCAAATGCTTTTTGTAATAACCTTCAAAAAGATCTTTTTCTTGTAAATATCGAAATAATACAATACATTTATCGAAAATAGCATCAACGTCCGAGTCTGCCATTCCTCTAGTGCCTCGTTTAAGTTTCTCGTCAATAAATAACGACAGGAACTCAGGAGAGCGGGGGTTTAAATTGACGAAGTACTCAAAGTCAGAGTTAATCTGGTTACGAAATATTGTCTGATTATTTAGTGCTCGTGCTAGCAATTCGTTGGCACGATCACGCAATTTCAGTAGATCTTGAATATGCTGTTGAGGAGTTGACGCACCAGTGTCACCGACGATATTTCTGCCTTGCTCTCTAAGATAGAGACTAATACAGTTACTCATTATCTTTGGTCCTTCTTCAACCCTACTAAGAACATCGTACATAGCAGCAATGTCACTGAAATGGTCATGAGTTAGCATGTATGTTAGCCCTGAATCTTCCATGCCTACAATAGTTTCCATGTGTCGACTGATAAGTTCCTCCTCCAAAACAGCAACAATTTTGGGCTCTGTAGACGGATCAAGATGATGATGCGCTCGTCTAATTTCTTCCTCGATTCTCTGTTCAACCTTTTTGATATAGAGAGAAGCGGAGTTGTTTTCGGCCAAGAAATTTTCACTTTCAGCACGATAAAATTCCCTAGACTGTTCCAAAAATGGTCGCTCAAAGTCCTCAAGGTAAACACGTAGTGAGCCGGCTCCTAATTGAACAAACATTTGACAGGCATCACGAATCTGTGAGCGTGATATTGCCTCACCTCGACGCTCCCTTCGAACCATGTCTAAAAGTGTCTTCTGCAAGTGTTCTCGGATTACAGGATGACGTACCACAAGGTCACAGAAAACTGTCATCCCCATTTTATAAACTCCATCTAGATTGTGAGGGCCAACGTAGACACGATCCATATACATAAGAATATCGCGAATCATTCCCATAGCAGTTTGATGATCTTTCCAACAGGAGTTGAGGTAAGTTAGAAATTTATTATTTAGATTTTCAACAATACTGTCACGGATCCTAGTCATATGTTCACGGACAACGGTTTCAGTGCCCGCGTACAAACGTTCTCCGTGTTTTTGTAAAATTAAAGTGTACGCATTTCGGTATAATTCTTCAAAGCTCAAACAGCTGTTGTTTTTCTTCTGAATTTCAATAATCGCACTTTTTATCTGATCCCATAGCTGATTTGCATATCTTTCGTCTATCGAAGGAGGAAAGGCTTTAATTCGCACTTTGGCGCTTGTCACTTCAGTCCGACGAGCACTGCCACCTGTAGACATATTAGATTTCTAAAAAGCAAAACACAGAAACAGAGAATAATTTCACAGGCCAGTGAAGGTAGATGCTTGGAGGAATTAACTGGAGCACGGCTAACTGATAAACAAATGATTAGTTTATAGCAGCTAAAAAAGAGCAAACATAGAATACTACAATCGATAAACATGGATGGAATATATCCTAATTAAGTCGGGAAAGATGAAAACAAGTAAAATTTCTAACATAAAGGGTATATCTGCACTACTGTGGACGTAAATAATAGTTGCACGACTGCTTTTTAACATTGCGAGGACCTCAAGCCAGTGAATTACATCGCAACATAAGACAGACGAAGTTACGAACTTTCCCAACCCTTCACTCTTCCAGAATCCAGTCTCCGAAGACCTGTGTTCTACTGAGAACCGAGAGGAATAATAATAAAACAATAATCAAATGACTAGGAATGTACGTCGTTACGGGTTGAAATTTCTAAATTGCTAGATGAACGAAATCTCCAACAAGTCTTGCCCACTTAGAGCAGTGTTGACAAAATTACAAGCAAGTAGTCTACAAAAGCCTATTATCCTAAGCTTACTATAATGATGAGTTACATCTCACTAATACTGGAAAAATTCTAACATTCTATAGTAGGTAAATTCCGAATCCGTTCTGAAATGGATTCTTCAATTGCACAGAGTAGAACTCAGTGCTGGTTTTCAGCATGAATACAGCCATGGCTGGCACTAATTTACCACCCTGCTCTTTTTCTAGGCATTTTCAGTAGATCAGAACCTACTGGGTGGGCATTGTTCCAGTCCTCGCAGTACATATTAAGCACGACCAGCATTATCTCAGAACGTAGTGGGCAGATGAAATCTTCATTTACCATAAAAAGGCATTATTGAAGAAAAAGTAAGAATAAGTTTAGAATTGTTCTAAGCTTGGGTTGTTGAGTTTATCGTTGCTTCAGATAAATTACAGGCAACAGCTGACCGAGTAAGCTCACGCACAAAGTACAAGTTGAACTTCCTTGTAGCTTTAAATTTTTGGTAGTGTCAGATACGAATTACACAAAATTATTTAAGACTTCGTCAAGTATGTCAACTTCAAGGTCGCGGCCAATCAACACGAATGAAATTGTCAACAGATACTTTTCTGGTAAGATTACATGACCCCAAAACTATCAAGGCAAGACTTTAAAATAGTGATTTGCAGTATAAAGTATTAAAGTAAATCATTAATATGCAAATTCATCCATATTATACGAAGGCATTGGCAACGCACCAACGTCTCAAACCATAAGCCGCGCCCTGGCTAAAACAAAACAATGGTTCGCTACAAAAACAGATGTTTCTATTTTTATAGACAATGTCCTTTTGTTCAACCTAAATAAACCTTATGACTACTTCGCTCTGCCTCCTTGTTGTTTCAGAACGGTTCTAGGTTAATGGTAGACTCTAACACTATCAACCCATACACACCCGAATACTGCATCTTCAATATCCAATATCGTTTATACGAGCTAGTATAAACCAATTTGATTTCTTTGTGCTCGCTTATTGATTGTAAGGTATAGGTTCCTGGTCTTCGGTAAACTCCTTAGTGAAAAAAAGAGAAGGGAGGTACATTAGTTTGTTTTAAAGAGAAATTACGGTTTGTACCAGAGAATTAACACTGCAGAGGCTTGATAATTTCGTTTCTGTTTCGATATCCTCCAGTTAAACAAATAAGCTTCTGGTAAATCATTTAAAATTTTGTAGGAACAAAATCGAGAGAATGTGTATTGAAGGGAAATGTTAAGTGGGGGGGAGGATTGGCTGTGATACAAGTAGTTTCGTGTGGGCATGCCATCACAGTACTACTGGAATAAAGGAATGAGAACATCAGAGAAAGAGGTAGCAGAACAATTAGAATAAAAAAGTGAGGTATGCAAAAATGGGTGGGATTCTTCCAATGTCATTATTGGCTTTTAGATCTAGTCTGCTTTCCCTGTGGCTGACTCGTTCTTCACATCGCTTTAAAATCATTAGGCAGATGAAGAATATCACTCTTAGAGTCGACACAGGAAAGGCCTTCTTCAGGGAACTGGAGGTTCTCCTTTTAAGGATATTCGCTGCTAGGTTCCCCTGAATTCTAGATTCAATTATAATGTTTTCAATGGCACCCAAGTGCATTCTTTCCTATATGGGTTCACTTTCATGTTCTTCCTTGCGAAACTCGCTGAGCATCCATCTCAAGCCACGATGGTTTTTTCAGTAAAAGCTCTTCTCCTAAGCAGTCACTTTCTAACCCTGTATAATTTTGTTTCCAAACCCCTGTAACCTATGTTCACACGCTTTAACTTTCATATCAAGTCACGGCGAAGTTAAACTTTCGACACGACTAACTACCAATCAGTGAATTATCCAATGAGATTCACGAACGTAGTTCAATGTTGTAGAGCGCTTGATTCATTTCTAATGCGTGACCTTACAAGGTTACGGCTGCAATTTAAGGAGGTTAGTGTTTTCCAGTATTGCCTGAATTTAAATTGCTCCGGAAGGAGCGAACTTGTTCGTGTGTTGGCATCATGACTCTAAAAAGCTATAGCAGATCAACTGGTGGGTTTGTTCATCGTTGTGCTATATGTTTGAAGCATGCTGATATTAGAGAGGGTAAGCTGATAATTTTAATATTTCGTGGGAAATTTTTCCACTAGGTCACATCTCTCCCTAACCCAGGTTTTGTATATCTGGAATTACTGGGTGTTGAAACAGCCGGTGAGAGCAGCAGCTGCCGAGGCTGAGAATAGTCTTGTCTCAAGAGTTTAGTGGTACCAGCATTGCAGAGATATTGCTTCGTGTAAAATAGAGACAATCACTTGTTTGTCGTGTGGATCCCGTTATGAGGACTCATACGAATTCCACTGAAGGTTTACAGGGCCGCTTGAAAAACAAGATAACGGCTATAAATGGATCTGAAAAGGATCTCATTTACAGCCGTTCAGATGAATATAAGTACAGGATGTGCTGTGACTACGCCATTGACAGTCACATGCTAAACTGGGGGATGTTTCTCTCACATATTCGAGAAAGATACTCCTTGTAACCGTTTTATCCTTCTTTATGCTTTTTTCTATAAATATGCGTTTTCATTCATCATATATTCCTATTTAATGTGATTGGTCCGTTCTAGGTCGTTTGCTGATTGGTTACTAGTGGTGTCGAAAGTTTAACTTTGCCCAAGTCACTTTTCCAGTTATCGAAATATTAATAAAAAACAACTTATTTTACGTACACTGTAACTGTTTTCCAGTCCTATGTCCTTTAAGGTCCATGTGATATGTATTCACACGTCTAAACTTTCATGTCAAGCTGAATGTTATTATGACCTTTCACCTGCTTCATTACTACAAGAATTCAAATGACAACTGTATATAAGTGCAACTTTACAGCTATTGAAAATGAAATCGCCGAAAACATACCTTCTCTGGAATCCTTGTTCTTTTACCTTTATTTTAACTTGAAGTTGTGTTATTGCTTACTGTCAACATATTTTTATTATTTTACATCACATAACTTATTGAACGATGGATGAGGACTTTTCTGTACAGATGACAATTACTCTGCAGCTCCCAGCCGCCTGGGCGATTCGTAGGTCTTTATGGTTCTAAAATATTGAAGCCCAGTACGCTTTGCTGCACTTCATTTCCATGAAACTAAGGTCACTTATCCGAAGAACATCATGGGGGACATTTCAGATATGACTAAAGACGCCTACCCTGCCTTTTACGGTCGTTTGAAAGCAACCTTAATCAGGAGAGTAGGACTTACCGAACAACAAAAAGTTCAAGAATTCTCGAGAGACGTTCAAATCGGGACTGTAAGTCTTCGCAAACTCTTCATGGAATGAAACAGTTGATTGCTGATTTCAGAATTGAAGAAACCTTTCCAAAACTACTGTGATTATAATGGCTATCTCAGAGAGTGCCCGCAATTCTTGTAGTCTTCTATGAGTCACTTCTGACGGAATTAGCGGAGTCATCCATTAGAGCCCTAGAGGCCACCAGACCATTCATAATCGCTTCTGCCACCTTGTTCACTAACTGACCATGTCAGAATGACCTGCACTCAAAGAGTTCCCATCCAGTTTTGACATCAAACAGATGTATCTGAAGTTGTGGAGTCTTAGGAAGGTAGAAGTTCTCCCTAAAAACACACTCCAACCTTACAGCAAGTCTTCTTCGCTTTGTGGAAAAAAAGTCAACCTCAAATAACTCCCAACCTGGAATTTGTTGGTATCACAGACATCGTGGTGCCGATGCACAAAGGTAGTGATAATTATATTTCTTATAAAAAGGTAAGTTTACACGAACCGCATGCCATTCATAAAGGTACGATCAGATATGCTATAAGCTAAAATCACGAAATATACATAAATTAGCTGCCAACCACGTTTCGTAAACCGTTAATGCCCAGCTCTTGCTGCGCTCGGGCCCACGCTGTTCCTTGCACTTTTTCAGAAACGCTTAGTAATAACGGACGCAGTAACCAAAACACCGATTGGCCACTTGAGAATTCTTTATTGTAACACCAACATATAAAAATAATGTTTTTACTAGGGTCTGTGAACAAATATTACAATAATAAATCACAATATTACTTCTGATGGTTTACTTCTGACTTCTTTCTGAACAGCGACCGATGAGACGATGACTGTCGTATTGATGCCTCCGCGAAAATTGGGGAAGTTGGTTTTGAGCAAACAACCATGAATTGATCGTTCAATCTTCAACTGCATTGACACTCCCCGGCAAAAAAGGGATCCATCCCTTTTTTCCTTCACGACCAATACACGTTGACTTGGATGCCATTGCGAGAACCTGGGTCACACGGACAGAGCTGAAATCGAAAACAAACAGAAAAGCCAACAAGCGTACCCACAGCACAATCTCACACATCAATGACGACCTGCGCCTCCAGATAGAGACCCCCTCTTGACATCTTGCAACACAATCGCCACTTGCTAGAATGACTCTTGCAGAATGCAACGTGACCATAGCACCACCTCATGATACTCCACGCACATCCTCGTATCTATTCACCACCAATTACCACTGCAATCGCTTGTCACTCATTCTGCCTCAGTTCTAGTAGCGGTGACGCATGCGAGCCTCAGTCGTTTACACTTTTTCTTCCCGGCGTGTCGGACCGCAGCTAACAATTATCTCCGTATGCATTTCATTCTCAGCAATAGCCTAGCCTCCCCGGCGTATACGACCCATCTGCTGTCTCTAACATCAATCAATTCATTCACGGATGTAGAAGACTAGAAACAACTTCAGAAGTAATCACGACGAAAATTTTAACAAAATTATATAATAACAACAAGGTACGAAAACAACGAGTAAACACAATGAATCCAAAATACACCAATTGATATGACACACCACACATATATACAAACAGTACACACAAACTCGCAGTTCATGTCTCGATGGAATTCCTTTGAAGAATCGCAGGACTTACACCAGTACGCCTACAACCCTTCACAGGTTGACGATTGTAAGTTGTGGAATGTCCGGACACAAACAAGATTAACCAACAATTACAATAATTGGAACTCACACAATTATTTAACACAAACATATGTACAATCAATACATCAAATGTTGTGGATTCTGGAATGAAAAACTACCCTTGAAGAACTGTAGGACTTACAGCAGTACGCCTACATTCCTTCTCAGGTTGATGATCCAAGTGGAAGTCGTCCGGACACAAACAGAATTACCAACAGCTAGATGACAGATGATATCAATTCAGTATATACAATATGAACATATGTACAAAATCACACACCGAGCACATTGGACTGCTCATTGATGCGCTACCCTTTGAAGAACTGTAGGACTTACAGCAGTACGCCTACAACCCTTCTCAGGTTGACGCTCTAGGTTGGAAAATCGTTGCAGAGTTCATTTGCTGACTTCCTTCTATCAGCTATATCCTCAAATCTGAACGGTAACAAGCCCGTGTCATTGTATCGTAGAATATAGATGACTAACAAACACAAGGCATATCTGGTCAACCAAGTGTAGAAACAGAGTAATTTACACCAAAGATAATAGCATTCAAATAGTAACTTGAAACAAGAAATTCCTTTATTTATGCAAGTCAATTTAACAATTACTCTCTCGTTTACACTTGGCTTATTCTCACTAAACTGAGCAATATCTTTCGTCTTTTCAAACGCACCAATACTATCATAGTCATTGCACAAGATACTTGAGTTGATGGGCGTCTGTTTCATTGTGGATGACAGCACCAACGACGACTGATTGATACCAGT